CCTGAAAAATATATAACATCTTGATAACAGCATATAAAAAACTTTTCAAAAATAAAAGTGATTTAAATAGATCCATACTCAACAATGTAATTTATTATCCAAAGATCCATAACTTGAAAAGTATTTGAATACTATAATAAGAAAGTCAAGTAATAGAACTTTACAATAGATTAAATAATCTCAGAACAGCAGAAATCACAACAATTATTAGACTTAAAAAAGTACAAATTGAAAATTGAAAACTACTCAATTTATTTATTTGCAAATCCTTAAGTTATCTAATAGACAAAGATACCTTTACACTCCAAGTAATCAAAATTGTTAAAGATATAGAAATAATATTTCATAGTTGAAAATGGTAAGATACTTTTGAATAAAAAAAGGTAAACATTTGGATCAGAGAATATCTTGTATTAAAAGAATCCAAAAAAACTATATTATCATTTAAAAACAATTAACTAATATATTTGAACCAGCTAATTGATCAAAAAATAAAAAAAATAAGAGACTGGTGAATACTGTATTTTAGCTTCTATAAAATATAAGTAAAGGACCTTTACCAAAATAGTTTTAAATAGTAGTTCAAAATCTCTCAGAAATACAACTAAAGTAACTTATAAAATCTTGAATAAAAAACTATATAAAATAGAAACCAGAATACTTTAAGATAGAACCTAATTAAGACAAATGAAAAAAATTGTAGATTGTATAAGAATCAAAAGAAATCAAGTAACTTGAAAAAGTTAAGATAAAAAAAAGAGAGACATATTATAATAATGAAGCATTTTACCAGTTGTAGCATCAACAATAACCAGAAAACTAGTATACAAAAATATCTTGAATATTTAGAAAACACAACACAAAATAGTAATTGTATTATAGAAAGAAGAATGAAAAAAAAATATATAGTACTATAACTTAATATAAGAAAGTTTGTTAGTAAAATAAAATGTTAAGACCTATGAATCGATAGTACAATAGTTAGCACTCTATAGGTTAGATCACAAGATTCAAGTTCAATTCCATCCAAATACAAGACTGCTCATAAAGAATTGAATCCATCTATTGATGTAACTGTAAACTAACCTATGTTTCTAAATATAGCATCCAGTCTATATCTAGATTATAATCAGGTTGTGATCCAAATTGGATAGGATTATCACTGACACAACTGTATTGTCAGAAATGGTAGCAAGAAGAGTAGTTTCTCAAATTAATAACATACCTCTCAGTATCAAAACAAAAAACATAACTCATCCAGAGATACAAATGACTTAACACAAATTTGTACACAAAAAAAAATGACTCTTCCATAAGAAGCCAGTTCCAGTTCTCATGCATATAGCTATAACGGCTTTCATAGACTTAACTATTAGGAGGCCTTAGTGAGAGAAGAAATCCACAGACCACTTCAAAGGATCAAAAACAGGGATCCAAGATACTAAATTTGATAGCCTAATAACTAGAATATTCTTAATAAAAAATTGTTCAAGGAATAATTAAGACGAAATCATATAGGCTTCCAGTTTATAGATGGGCTGGTAGTAGTGGTAGCTAGTATTAGTTTAAATATATATATAGCTATCCATATAGATATGATTTACTATAACATATATATATAACTACTCATTTGTAGTAACATAATAGTTTCGATTAATAAAAATTACAAATTAAGCCTATCTGTCAATTCAAAATAAATGGAAAGAATATTAATAACACAGAAATATAATAAAAACATAAAACCATGACATAAAATCGAATGGAAGGACATTGTCAGGGGAGTTATAACACATGCTATGATACAAGTAGCAGAGACTATAACAAAAAATAGATCAAAGCAATAGAAGTAATTCGAGGTACAACATACAAGTTTTGATTAGCCAAGTGAGAAACTTGAAAACTTAGATGTGACATTACAATTGACTGGAAAAAAAGTCAAAGTATAAATAAAAAACTTAAACATTAGAAGAAACAAGCAAAAGATAATAAAGATAATTAGCAAACTATATTACAATGTTTAAACTTACTAACAACACAGGCTATCAAAAGCTTTGAAGCTAATCTGGAGCCAGAACAGGCTCAAGTCAATCTAAAGAAATATCTAACGGACAGATTTGAGGAACTATACATAGAACTAACAAACATCATAACAGAAAAAACCTTAAAAAAACAGCTATTTTCCCTTTTTTTTCTTTTCTATCAATATTAGTACTAGTGAAGTCTTGACACACTAGCCCCACCAAGATAAATTGCAGCAAGTCACAGGGTTTCTAGTAATAGAATACTGAGTCATGATGTTTTTTTCCTTTCATAAATGTATAGACTCATAATTAAATTTACATGCATAAGCCTGTATTAATGAATAAATAAAAACTCAATGACAGGATTTCATTAGTTAAAAAAAAAAAAAAAAAAAGAATACAAAAGTTAAAAATCCCTAACTCCAAATCAATACTTGAAAAAAAGATCAAATAAGTGATTTACAGTAATCAAAGTATTTTTATGATTCTAAACAATAGAGTAAATTATATAAATATCAAAATCTGGAAAAAATCTATTATTAAGAAAAATGTTAGAGAAGGAATATATCAAGATCACCTAATAAAAATACTCCAACTCAATCTTGGATTCAAAGAAAAACTAATCTTCTATACTAATAGATTATTTATTAATCATGAAAAGAAAAAATAAAAATATAAGTAGCTTGGATCCAAATAGAAAAAAAAGGAAAGAAAAGCAAGTTTCAAATAGGAGTAAACAATTAACCCTCATCTATAAGAGTTAAATTGATAATAATCATAATAATACTCTTAATAGTTCCAATTGAGAGCATGGTTAAGATTTATATGAACAATTAAGTATATATTTCTAAGTGAAAATCTTTAGAAAAAAAACAAAGAAAAAAATTAATCTCTTTGGGCACATATGGTAAAGCTAATAAAAAAATATATATATAGATTTAAAGTTTACAAAAATTAAGGTATATTCAAATGATTTCTACAATAAAGAAGCAGATACTTTAGTAAAAAAAGTTTTAAAATTTATACTGATTAAATAAAAAGATCTCATATAAGATTATTACAGAAATTAAATATCAAAAGACAACTTTAGATAATCCAATTAGACAGTTCATTAAGAATATTAATAATAAGACAACAGCCTATTAATGAATATCAAAATAAAATGAAAAAAAAAGGAATTATCAAATTTTAGAATACTAGATTCATATATGAGCCTAGTATGTGAAAGAATTAAAGATAAGTATATATAGAATATATTCTTTAAACAATTTCAACAAAAAAGCTTTCTCATTAAACTGGCCAATTATAAGCTACCTATCTTAAGTTAGTTGACTATAAGAAGATCAGACCTATACAAGTAAGTGAAATGTATTGTATTTAGTCAATAAGATAAAATTATAGAATATTTATTAGAATATTTAGTTTATATGGACCAGTTACAAAAGGTATAAAATAAAGGAGTAGATGAAATTATTAAAAACTTTAAAGAGCTACTATAGAAAAGAAAGAGAGAGGTTGAAAAAAAAAATTTCAGATTAATTATTGATAACTGAGAATAAATAGAAAGTTTGACAAGTGAATCTCAAAAGCAGTAAAACAAATTTTTAAAACCAACCAAAATATCATAAGTTTTTATACGGTCCTTATAAAAAATAATCTTATCTAGAAATAGTAGACTTAAAATATCAAGGTAAACATATTCAAAGAATAATAAGAAAATAAAAAATAAAGATATAAAAAAAGTCTACAACCAAGTTCAAAAAAAAGTTTAAAACAAGACATATAAAAAGGTAATTAAATAAAAACAAATAAAAGTAATTAATAGAAAAAACAAGACAAAAAAATCTTCATATTTTTTAAATTAAAAAACTATTCTTCTGAAGAGAAAAAAGTTACTGTTTGAAAAAGAAAACCTTGAAAACAAAAGCTTTCAAGAAATTTTATCAAAAAAAGTAAAGTATGAAATAAAATAGTTAGATTTTAAGCTCTATCAGAACCTTACAGAATAATCTGTAATAATGATCTGCAGGTAATAAAGTTAACAGTTGAAATGATCTTTATTTGAATTACTAATAATATAATAAATTACTTCTGAAATTATACTTAGAGTTTTAATATTTCCTAAAATAGAGACATGTAAATTTGATAGAGGCTAAACTTTAGTAATATATTTTCCAATATAAAATATACATATGTTTAATAAAATACAAGTTTCTATTGATCACACTCATGTATTCTAATAATTTCATTGGTGATTGAAAAGAATGTTTCAAAAATATTTAATTTTAGAAACCCAAGTCTTTTAGTAAAAACATTTATAATATCAAAAAATCAAGTAATAAGTAATACAAATTGTAAACTTTATTTCTTATTTAAGTTTTTTAGATGATAATAAAACTTTAATGAAAAAAAGTTAAAATTTAAATACTTTTCTTGAGATATTCTAATCTGATGCTTGCTTAAATAAAAAATCAATTGAATTGACTTATCTAATACTATAAGTAATAATAAAAAAATTTTATTTTGAGATTCAAGTAAAACAATTAGGTTAGTCAAATTCTTTTTGAAAAGAAATTATTTTTATTTTTGAACTTTTTAATGAATCTTGAATTGTTTCCTTTCCCTTTTTTGTTTTTCCCTTTTTCCTTTTAACCTAGCAATTCATTGATTTTTTGGTCAATCAACAGTGATAAACTGTTAATAATAATAATCTTGATAGATAAAAAAATAGCATATGCATTTACACTAGAGAGTTTACTATATATATAATTTATAAAAACTTGAAACTAACATGTTTTATACATTTTATAGAGTATATACATTTATAGGAAGTTGCATTTAGTACTGTCAGTCACGAAAATAATTTATTACTATTTGTGTTTCAAATTTGCTATGCGCATGCCGCACCTGGAAAAGTCATTATAAATCTCTGCTTAAAGACTCCCTTTTAACATTAAAGTTTCCTTATAACCAAACGAAATGTCAGCCACATTGTCACCAAATGCTTCGCCCAAGCAATATCCATTCTTAACTAGACAAGAATTCGAATTTGCCGCAAAGTTGTTCATTGCGCAGTCTCGGAAAGCGAGTGAAACAGAGGTTTGGAATTGGGTTGAACATGAGGTAAGACTACTTTTTATTACTTAATTCAAGATTTTACAACAAATATGGTATAAATTATTTTGCAAGAGACGTTTAATCATTTACACCTTAAAATGATTTAATCCCTTAAATTCGTAATTTAAAAAATCAGAAATTTAAAGGATTTGGCTACTTATGTCGAAGATCTATGGTACAAAAGTTGGCGGGCATAAGGAGTTTGGGAGAAGGTATATCAGTAGATGAAGAAAATGATGTTTTTGAAGATGATGATCCTAGTGTACGTGTGGTTGCTAAGTTCTTTGCAGAAGATGCTGATTCAGAATAGTCTTTAACTATAGCGTTCTTTATTATGAAATTAGGTTCTTTCCACGTTATCCTCATCAGAAGAATACTTGACAGTAGATTATCACGTAATTTATTCCACTTCTTATAAAGTACCCGTACTTTATTTTAATGTATACTACGATGGTTTGCATTCAATTTTTTTTTTTTTTTTTGTATTTTTACGTGAAGATTGGCGAGTAATGAACATTTATAGACGGCACACCATTAAAAATTGATGAAATATATTCAAATTTGGTACAACCTTCAAGATTTGAAGATATAAAACCGGCGGGATTTTACGGCGGTATATCGCAACAGGTTCGTAGATTTATAGATTACTGTTCTCGGCTTCTCATTTAGCTACTATCAGGTTTATTGATTGCCCGGTAACTTTATTTATTTATTAGGACCATCCAACACTTTTAATTCCATTCTACTTTCTTCACCCATGTGAAACTGCCACATTGATGAGAACAATCGTTGGTAATAAAGGAAATCTCATTATTTATTTTGCATCACATCACATTTACATTTTATTTTTAATAACGCGCCACTATTTATTATTACCTTTAAAAAGGCACTAACGCGAATAAAGAGTTAGATGGTGGAAGTGAGGGAAAGCTGTTTAACGTTAATGAAGAAAGTCTTGTGGAAAATAACAATGGTTATGCAATAAGAGACTTTGATATATCATCACAGAAAATAGCACTAGAGGGATACATTAGAAGTTGGTTGAGTTTGATTGGACCTGTTGTAGGAGTAAAAGTTGGAATCGGGTATTTTCTTTGAACTTTAATGGTAATAATATTACATTTTTATTAAAAATGATTATCTTATAGTTACGATTCAACTTAGACTAAAGTCCTTTTACGACTTCTCTTACGGATTAGTGAGTTGTCTTGTAGTATTGCCTCGTCGCAACCACAACTATTAGTAAATGATTTTAAAAGTAATATTCGCACATTCTTTCCATTGATATATAGAGATTTTATGAATCAAACTCGATAATGTAGTCGGCGATTGTTAGAATCGAATTATTGGAACAATAGTCAGAAGGATGAACTGATTTGATCGAATCATAAATGGTAACTTCGAATAGTAGGTTTATTTATGCGTCACATAATAGCAATATTATTGTACTGTATATCTCCAGACTTAATTGATTCAAGGTTACTTGCTCAAATGCAACTTGAATATAGAGCTCACCTTCATGATACACATTCGTTATATTAATATTTAGAATTCATTACTTAAATTAATCCTTGTAAACTTTAATTATTTCATACGGTTAATCATCGGCATTTTTTACATGCAACGAGATCAAATGCCATTTATTTAGTAAAGTACTTGGAGATAGACCTAGCCACGAATTCCGCAACAATCGATTCTCGGATTTCTGGATTCAACTTTATTTTTGGTGAATTTAATTCCTGGCTCAATATATTAATACAATCGTATCATTTCCCAATCATGCGGATTCATCAAAGCATCTGAGAACTTTTGGATTTTTTTCTCTTAAATAATTCAGGGTATAATTTTAATGTTGATGATTAATCGCCTAAAGACCATGTGTATGGATAAGAAAGGTGCATTTTTTAGTAAACTGATATCTAAACGTTCTAATTAGAAGCAATCTATAAATACACTAAAGATTTTATCTGTTGCATTTATCACATAAATAGTAATTGGCAGAAAATTTCATAAGTAACCTTAGAGCTATGTAATATTCAGATTTACTGTTAAAGATATTTTTTAATATCTTTTTTAAATGTAAAAAATATTAAACATATTAAAAATAATATATTGTATATAGTAACTTACTTAAGCTTAGACTATACTAGTTACAATATCATTAAAACTAAATTACTAATTAACTCACTCATCTTAGTTTGCTATTAAACTTTAACTGCAACTAGTGTTCACAATTTTGATCCGAATCTGATTGATCCGTGAATCGGATATGAATCAAATCGGATCAAATTTCAAAATTTTTAATCTGATCAGATTCGGATCAAATCGAATTTTAAATTTACAAAATTATCAGATTCA